CAATAGCAAGGTGGAAGTTTTGGGGATATTTCTAGGCAAACCCCATCTCTGCCTGGATCTTCCTAATGGGGAATAGCAATCCAAGGGTAGGAAGAACAGGACTGGGAGCCACAATCTGGATCATGGGAATGCTCTTAAGAGCAAGGTGGAAGTTCTGGGATATTTCTAACCCCATCTGTGGATCTTCCCAATGGGGAATGGCAATCCAAGCATAGGGAGAATGGGATTGGGAGCCACANCCTGGCCATGGATGAGCTTTGGGGCCACTTCCAACCCAGACCATTCCCTGATTATTTGGGATCTGTTCACAGATTGCAATTTTCTGCACAGATCTGGCAGGTCCAGGAAATATTTTAAGGAATATTTCACCTCTTTCCTTTCTCCAGATCAGGAATGTTGAAACCAACCAGTGCTTGGACAACATGGGCCGCAAGGAGAACGAAAAAGTGGGATTTTTCAACTGCCATGGCATGGGAGGGAACCAGGTAAACAAAACCAGGGAAAAGTGGCTTTCTTTGTCCAAGAATTCCTTTGGAATATTTTAAATATCTGTTTCAATTATTTTTTAGATTTTGTGTGAAAGTAATATCAAAATAATCAATGAAAAGTCCAAAATACTTTCAGTTTCGAGCTGAAGGATTTTAAGAGGACTCAGCCATTTTTTTGCAATGTCAGCTCCAGATTTTGGGTGAATATTGGTGCACATCCATGGGAAGTATCCCAGTGAATATATTGAATAGAATCCTGCTGTCATTTTATAATAATTTTAACATTCTTTAACATGAACATCCATTAACATGAACTTTAGGAAATGTGATCAGGAATTTGAATTTATTTTTGTAAAAATGAAATGGCAGGAATCTCCATGAATGTGGCTGCATCCATCTGTTCTGAATGTGTGTAGGAAAATAAATATCCAGGATATTCATGGAAATTCTTTAATGGAATTCCAGTAGTGGGGACCTGGGGAGTTTCATTCAGAGGGGTGGAAAGGGAGTGGAAAAGGGGATGGAATTCCTGGTCTTGTGACCAACAACACTGGGTTAATTAGGACAAAATTTGCATATTCCAGTGGATATTCAAATTAGCATGGCCGCTCCAGATGAGGCTTGGGATGTAAATTATAGTTAAGGGACTTTTAAGCATATTTTAAATTACCTGTATTTTAATGAATTAGAATTTATTATTTATGTGCAGAGTTTTCCAGGGGTGGTGCCAGCCTGGCACGGTCACAATTCCCCGGTAGCTCTGGTGTTGCAGACCCCTGCTCCTGGCCACATTCCTGCTGGGAAAGGCTGGGATGCTCCATGTGCCCATCCCTGATTTATCCTGGAGCTTCATCCCAGCTCCTGCCATCTCCTCCATCCTCACTGGAGCTTGGCCTCGTTTCCCTGCTTTTTGGCTGGGAAAAGCTTTCCCTTCCCCTGAATTCCCATGGATTTCTCCAAGGGAGAACCTTCCCTGAATTCCTGTGGATTTCTCCAGTGGAAAACCTTTCCCTGAATTCTCATGGATTTCTCCAGTGGAGAACCTTTCCCTGAATTCCCATGGATTTCTCCAGGAGAAAACCTTTCCCTTCCCCTGAATTTTCATGGATTTCTCCAGTGGAGAACCTTCCCTGAATTCCCATGGATTACTCCAGTGGAAAACCCTTCCCTGAATTCTGATGGATTTCTCCAAGGGAGAACCTTTCCCTTCCCCTGAATTTCTGTTGATTTCTCCAGTGGAAAACCTTTCTCTTCCCCTGAGTGGGAAAAGATTCCCTTTCCCCTGAATTCCCATGGATTTCTCCAGTGGAGAACCTTTCCCTTCCCCTGAATTCCCATGGATTTCTCCAATAGAGAACCTTTCCCTTCCCCTGAATTCCCGTGGATTTCTCCAGTGGAAAACCTTTCCATTTCCCTGAATTCCCACTGATTTCTCCAAGGGACAACCTTTCCCTTAGTTCCTATGGATTTCTCTAGTGGAGAACCTTTCCCTTCCCCTGAATTCTCATGGATTTCTCCAGTGGACAACCTTCCCTAAATTCCCATGGATTTCTCCAAGGGAAAACCTTTCCCTTCCCCTGAATTCTGGTGGATTCCTCCAGTGGAAAACCTTTCCCTTCTCCTGAATTCCCATGGGTTTCTCCAGGAGAAAATCTTTCCCTTCCCCTGAATTCCCATGGATTTTTCCAAGGGAAAACCTTTCCCTTAGTTCCTATGGATTTCTCTAGTGGAAAACCTTTCCCTTCCCCTGAATTCCCATGGATTTCTCCAGNGTTGGGATGTGGAGGTGTCACTGTCACACGTCACCACAGAGAGGTGGCCCAGTCTGAAGGCCCTGTGGCACCGGCTGGCACTGGGAGCCATCCTGGGAGGTGTGGCCCGAGCTGGTGGGATGTGCTGGGCTCTCCTGGAGGAGATCCTGGAGGAGATCCTGGGGAATCCTGGGTGTTCTCTGGTGCCCAGTGGGATTTGGCAGCACCAAAGCTTCTTGGGTTGTGCTGGGAAAAAAAAACAGGATCCAGTGTTGGGAAAACCAGGCCAGGAGTGCACTTCACCAGGAATTCCAGCAGATGAGGCCACAGGAGACGCGGGAATGCCGAGGGGAAGGAGTGGCACTCGTGGGACCTCGGGGTGGCACGGAGGGAGCTGTCCCCTCCTTCCATGGCAACCGAGCTGGAGCTCAGGGGACACCTGGAAGGACCAAAATTGAGACCTCTGGAGCTTGGAGGGTCTCCATCCCTCCATCCCTCCATCCCAACGCATCCATGAGTCCCTGCATCCCAGCCCTGGATCCGCTCCCAGCTCTGCCTGCAGGTGTTCCTGGAATCACAGGGGCTCCTTTCTGGTTTCAGGAATTCGGGGGCGCCCTCCTGGTGTGGGTGTGGGTGTTCCCACAGCGCTGCTGGCCCTCAGGAGCTGCTCCTGCTGGGATGTGGGGACAGGGACATTCCCGTGGGAGCCACTCCAAATGCAGCTGTGGCCCTCTGGGCTGGGATTTTGGGAATTCTCACTGCCTGAAATCCCAGGGCAGCGGGATCCCAGCACGGGTAAGTGGGGAAATATTTCCCAGGATTTCCCTCACAATTCCCCAAAAATCTCTGTAAATGCACTGGGTCATTAAAAATGCTGGTATTTTCTGTACCTGCTGTGGTGGTCCTGGATTCATCCTGGGGTTTATGGACGGTGTAAATGACAATATTTGCTGGACACTGAGCATTAAAGGGGAAGCAGGAGGGGGTTCAGCTGGCAAAGGGATTGCTGGGTGTCCATGGAGCTGGAATATCCTGGATTAACCTGGATTGGGGCTCATCTCCACCCTCCTGCCCAAATATTCCTGCTCCTCATCCTCCAGAAATACAAAATGTGATTTAAAAATCCCACAGAAAAGGGGGAGGTTTTATTCTTTGTAAAAAGAACAGGAGAATATCAGGATCCAATTTAACCAGGGATTTCCATGCAGACAAAGAGGAACCAGTCATTTATTTCACCTCCTTCCCGAGGGTTTGGCCTCAGCACGGCCCTGGGTGGGCTCTGGGGTGGGAATTGGGGTTGGGGTGGGAATTGGGGTTGGGGTGGGAAGGGGAGGTGGGGAATGTCCTGGGGACAGTGGGACAGGGCGGTGTCACCTCCTGGCTCCACATCCCCAGCCCTGTCCCATCCCAAGGCTCCTTGACGTTGCAACCAGAGCTATTTACAAAATTAGGATTTTATAAATAGAGCTTCTATATTAATACATAATTCTGTAATTCGTCCTACACTGCTGCAGTGCCCTTCAATCAACCAAATCACAAAAGGACTAATTAACAACTCGTTTAAAATGAGATTCCCCACATCCAGAGTTGCTTCCTTGTCCAAAACCCATGGAAAAACCCCAGCTAAAATCCCTTTTCTCAGTAATTCCTGTTCCAGGTTGTCCCTGCAGGTGTCTGGGGGGTTGGAGCTGCAGGTGACACCAAACCCTGGTGAGGCCCAGCTGGTAATTAAAGCCTTTGGAGGTAATTAACTGCTCCTGTTAATGATGGGCTGCGGAGCCTGGGAATGAATCACCCAATAATCCCTTTGGGAGGGATGAATGCAGGCACCGAGGTATTTCCCCTTTTTTTTGGGGGATTTCTCAGAAATGGCAATAATTAGGATTGACAGAAAATTACAGAGAGGGAACCAACCTCCATCTCATTTCTCTGGAAATATGATTTATCCCTTTTTTGGGGATTTATTTAAGGGATTTAGGGATTCATCCAGAGGGATATTAGGATATTTTTGAGGAATATGCTGGTACTGGTGCCATGTCTGCCTGCTCCAACTACCATTTCAAACTGGAAATTATTTTTGTGAGGAAAACCAGCAGGATCTGCCCTCAAATCCACACCCAGGCACTGGGATTGGCAGAGAGGGGTTTGGGAATGTCTCTGTTAATTCAGGGAACACATAATTAATTTCATCATTTCATTTGTCATCATCCCCACATCAGCTAAAGCCTGGGAAAGCCTCCGGGTACTGAAATCGGGGAATTGCAGGGAATTGCTGTGTGGATCTAAACATCTCAAAAACTTAAATTCAATGAAGGTAAAAACGGGATAAAAGGGAATGGAATGGAATGGAATGGAATGGAATGGAATGGAATGGAATGGAATGGAATGGAATGAAGAAATGGAATTGCAGGGAAAGGAGGCCCAGGGGAAACTCCTGCCCAGGTGGGTTTAAATGGATCTGGGATGGGAAGGCTGGGATGGCAGCAGGCAGGGAGGGCTGGGTTTGTGGGATAATCGGCACAGGGAGGATGAGGAG